AAGCAAGTATACACCGGTGGAAAATGAAACCATATCTCTTCCTCACCACGTTGTATACTGTCGGGTAGATCGCTAGTCATGGTCTGAAGCCACAAATAGGTCAAATTAGCAACTCCACCCGGATGCTGTACTCTCAGCCATGGCCCGAAGCAGGTTTCCTCAAACAATTTTCTTTGTGCAGGTGAAAGCTTCGAAGCAATTGTAGTGGTAGGCTAACTTTATTCCTTAATGTCAATGAAGCCGAAAAAAATTTCTACAAAAACAATAAACATACCAAGTTAGATATACCAAAAACTACACTGTGAAGATATACCAAAAACAATAAACATAAATAGTAGTTTATTCTTGAAACTAAAATTTGCAACACTGTTTTGTCTTTTGGTTGAAATGAAAATCGCAACTAGAGAATGAAAATCTCAACGCGGAAATGACTATCGCAACGAGAGAATCGCAACACGAAATGAAAATCGCAACGAGAGAATCGCAATGCGATTTTGGTTTCGCGTTGCGATTCTCTCGTTGCGATAGTCATTTCCGCGTTGCGATTTTCATTCTCGAAACTATTCTTCTTCTGCATTACTTCAACCAAAAGACAAAAAAAAGACAAATACTAACTTCACAGGGTTAAATACTAAACAGTTTAGCAGTATTGGCAGCAATCGAATGAATTTAATAAGAAATCTAAGTGAAATGGTTAATATATTATTGAAATTACCAGTAAACTTATCATCAATTTCAATATGAAAAACCTAAAATAATGCAAAAATTTCAAAATAAAAATAATTAAAAAAACTAACCCTCGGAGGTTGATTTTCTATTTCTGAATGATTGTGAGGGATTTCTGACCGTGAATGGTTGTGAGGGATTTCGTCGGCGATGGGGACGGAAATCTTCGGAGATGGGGACGGATTTCGCCGTAGAGAGTGAGAGATGGAGATGGGACAGAGTGTTGTGATTTTAGGTTTGAGGTTATGAGTTACGATTACTGTGGACGGTTCAGTTTCCGATATATTAAGAAAAAATTCGTGTTTGGAATTTGAAAAAAAATACGCATTAATACGAATGGCGCTATGTAAATCGCATTGCGATAGTCAGATTCGCATTGCGATTTACGTATTCGCATTGCGATTTTCCTAATTCGCATTGCGATTTACTTAATCGCGTTGCGATTTTCCTAATCGTGTTGCGATTTACGTATTCGCATTGCGAATTAGGAAAATCGCAACGCGAATTTGGGAAATCGCAATGCGATAGTCAGAATCGCGTTGCGAATCTGGAAACCGATTTTTTGATACCGGAGATCGCGTTGCGAATTATCGATCGCATTGCGATTTAGTTGGTCATTTTGATAAATCCAAAAAAAATTGATTAAAATAATATATTATAAGACATTTTTTGTCACTGAGGTTATTTTCTTTTTAAAACAAAATGATCAGTTTCTTTTTCAAAAAAAATAGTTAACGGAATACGACGAATAAAGACAATAAATCAATCAATCAATTGCATATGGATGAATGATCATTTTCAAACACTTCACACGGAGAGGGGTAGCGGAAGTCTAAACTACTCAAAGAGATTTAAAATATTTTTCCTTTGTTAAATAAGTCTATACTTTTTTGTTGGTAAATAAGTAATTATACTTGATGGGTTAAATAAGCAACGGTAAGTAATTATGAATTGAGTAAATTAGATTAAAAAAATCATTATTATGATAGATTTTTGTAAAATTTGATTCGAATAAGTCAAACAATAAATTATATACTAATAATTAATTAAAAAAACGAAAAATAACATTGTACTTGATACTGTCTTTTTGTGTGTATGGTCAACTCATATTGTGCACAAAAATTAATTTGGCTACCATTTCCTTTGAATAAACAATTGCATCAAACAAAAAATTTGGAAATGGAAAAGTTCTTAATCAGTTTGTTAAATAAAGTTGGTTTGACCATTAAAAAAAGTAATATTTTTGAAATAATATTTTAAATTTAAGTATTATAAATAAAATAATATATTAAAATTTTATTTTATATTTAAAAGTTTAATTTAGCTCTAGTTTAAATATAATTATAATTTATATTATTACTTTTTTTCCAATGGTCTATGATGATTACAAGGCAGTTTATGTTCAGGATTTTTTTAGTCATTGATAACGTACATGTAGCTGCTTAAACCTAAGATCTTTAGGGTTAACAATACTCATTTTATACACTGAGGTTACTTGATAGATTCTAATTCGTACATTGAAATCACTTTTTTCGAATACTCTGATGGTTACAAGGTAATATTTGTTCAAAACTTTCATAACCAATTGGCAACGCACACATACCCTACAGACACAACTGTTCAAACTTAAAACCTCTAGGAAGAATAATCTTTCTTATTTCTTTTATCATCAAGGCCATTTAATGGGTTATTATACATTGAAATCATAAACGAATAAAAAATAAATAGTTTGAAAATATTGAAATTAATCGAAGAAGACTAGTATTTGTTTTGGGTGAATAGTAAACTAGGTTTAGGGTTTACACTTGGAAATTGGATGAATTCATTTTCTAAGTAATTAGATGCACGTATTATGTGATGGAGTGGTTTGACAAAGTTGCTGCCCCACCAATGAGGCCATCTTGATTCGGCTACAAATCTTGTTATATTTGCATATCAAAACAGAATAAAGAAAACGTGACATCCCCAAATTGAACACTATTAATTTAACAATCCATCAGTCTAAGTATCCTAGCTTACACAGTTATAGGGTAATTATATATGGTGTCATTTAAAAGATAATATTTAAAAAAAATTAATTGATAAATTATGTGTTTAGTATATAAACTATCAGTTTTGACCCGTTTTAGTACCTAAACTTCTAATTTTTTTAAAAATCATACCTAACGTTTAGTTTTTGTTTCGTTTTAGTACCTCACCGTTAAAAACTTAATGGTTGATTTGCACGTGGAACCTTTTTTACGGGTAAATTGCATCATTCATCACTCAACTATCTTCTCACTCCTATTTTGGTCACTAAAGTTTAATTTGTTTTTATTTTAATTACTTAACTTTCAAATTACTCATAATTTAATAACTCTAACTTTCAAATTTATTCTTTTATTTTAAATTTTATATTAATCAAATAAAAATATTATGTCAAAAAATATTAATAAAATAAATTAGAGTAAATAGAGGGCATTTTCATAATTCGGAGGTCTCCTACGGAAGCTGCTCTCAACCTGGCGTTGGGGGTAGCCTACTATCCTACCTCCCCCTTACCCCATTACATATGGGAATAAGGGTCAGCTAATTTTTAGAGTAAATAAAATAGGAGCAATTTGAAAGGTGAGTAGTTAAATTAAAAAAAATAAACTTTAGTACCAAAATAGAGGTGAGAAGATAGTTGAGTGATAACTGATGTAATTTATCCATAAAAAATGTTGTGATGTTAAGTTTTTAACGGCGAGATACTAAAATGAAACGTTAAGTGAGGTTTTCAAAAAATTGAAAGTTTAGGTACTATAACAGACCAAAACTAATAGTTTAGGTACAAAACATGTAATTTACTCAAAATTAATTAATGTATGATCGTTCGAGTGATAAAAAATTATATATAAATTCATTAATTTTATGTTTAATTCTAACATATTAGATTTTAATTGTTTTATTTAAAAATATATATTAAAATATAAAATGATAAATGATATTATAATGAAATTAATTACCTCTTTAAAAGTTAATTTTCTTAGTAGTTTTTGAGATAATTGTACAAGATATCCCTTAAAAATCAATAGATTTGACGTCACACTAACAAAATAACTAAAATAGAATGATACTGATAGTTTGATTATTTATATATAATGTTTTAGTGTTTGAAGATTAATTTAAAATGGAGTTATATTTTGAGGGACGATATAGAATATTGTAATATTTAAGGATCAATTTAAAATGGAATCATTGTATTGAAACCTTTTATGCAATTAACTATACTTTTTTCAATCAAGTTGGTTCCCAATAAAGATTTAAGGATAAACTACTTTAAATACCATTAGCTTTAAGCATTGACTCGTTTATACCACAAACGTTTTAATTTTGTCAATTTTAACACTAGCGTTTACTTTTAAGTGTAATTATATCACTCTAATGTTAATGATTTAACGGTGCAATGACATGGTAGCTCCACGCCATGCATTGCTGACGTGGATGCCTAAAAAATGCCTAAAACGACTTCGTTTTGTTCACATAAATAATATTAATTTTCTTTAAAAAATCTTAAAATTCCTTTTAAAAAAATCCAAAATTCCAAAAAAAAAAACTAAATCCCCAAAAAACTAAAAACTCTAAATCATAATCCCTAAATTCACCAAATATCACTATTGATAGCAAGCGGTTGGCACTGCACTGAAGTCTTCCATTCTCGTTCTACGTGTTATTCATCATTCGCCAGTCGATTGGTCGTCGTTCATGTTCGGTTAGAACATTCTATATTCCATGTTTTGACGATCAATTAGCACATTCTTCTTCGATTTCCTGCGATGAGAGAGTGATGTAATTGGTGGAAAGGGTTTGCCGACAACGTGGTTGGCGGTGGTCGTTGATTCGACGACGATAATGGGTGAAACTAGGGATTTAGTATTTAGGGTTTTGAGTTTTTGGGAAATTTGGAAATTTTGATAATTTTAGAGTTGTTTTTTGAAAAATTATTATTTTTAAGAATATATTTGTATATTATATTTGTAAGAATATAACCAAAATTTTAAGTTAGTTGAGTAGCTAAATCTCATCATTTGTTTCCAAAGGTCAAAGTTAAAATCCTACTAAACTCAAACTTTAACAAAATCTATGTAAGTATATTTGAATTAGTTTACCTAATATTTAACAAAATCTATGTAAGTATATTTGTGGCCTTTTATATATATATATGCACACACACGTGAGTGGGTGACAGAGAGAGCAAAATCAAATCCAAAACAAAACAATAGCTTTTGGTGTTCCCCCCCCCCCCCCCCCTTTATCTGTCTTTCCCTGATTTTTGGTGACTGAAAAAGAGAATGGGGAAAGGCAGAGCTCCATGCTGTGACAAGGAGAAAGTGAAGAGAGGTCCATGGAGTCCTTCAGAGGATTTGAGTCTCATTACTTTTATTCACAAACATGGCCATCCCAACTGGAGATCTCTCCCTAAACAAGCTGGTCAGCCTCTTTCTCTTTTTTTTTTTCCCTTTTTGATGATCGAATTCAAATCAGGCCAGGATGGACTGAGTGGACGAATAGTTCATCTCCACTTAAAATTTTATAAATTTGCGTCTTAATATAAAGTTACGCACACTCTACCAACAAAAACATTGGTAATCACCCGTTATTCATTACTTTTCTCTTCGTTTGATCTCATTTTCAGCTTTTTTCCTTCTTGAATCAATGTTTATTAAGCCACCCTTTTGTTCCAGTTTTCTCAATTTTTGCAGATTTATCTGTAATTTTTATTTTTTGAATATTTTTGCAGATTAATCTGTAATTTCTATGTAGTCTAATACTATGCCAATGAAATCATATTCTATTGATGGTGTTTGGCCAGTTTTGGTGAAATGGGAAAAAAAGGTCCATTCAAGAATCTAGCTTTGTTTTTATACTTGACAATTTCAACTGCAACTCTTTCACAAGTCGAAGAAATTTCCTAGCTAAAAAAATAAGGCCGGTAAACAATTAAGGGTCAACATCACAAAGTTTTATGTATCTTTCGATGATTGAATTGCAAGTCAAAAATCAATGAATGTGACCTTTGTTTTATACAGATATAAAATTTTATGTTAGGAGAGTCAACTAATAAAATTCTAAGAGATGACGAGCATATAAAATTATAGTTAGATTTTAAGAAGTAAAGACATTCTGAATTTTCAACCGCTCCTCGGTTCATCCCTTTATATAATTGTATGGAGAAAATTGTGATTGGATTTTAGAGATTTCAAAATTTTGAATAGACTTATTGTGTGGGTGTAGGGCTATTGAGATGTGGAAAGAGTTGCCGTTTGAGATGGATTAATTATCTAAGGCCTGATGTCAAGCGTGGGAACTTCACCAAATATGAAGAAGACACAATCATGAGGTTACATGAAACTTTGGGAAACAAGTCAGTTTCTATTTCCAATTACTTATTATCTTTCTCACTGTACAAGTAATCTTCTTACATGAGAACAAATCATGCTAAATTAAAGTACAAAAACTAAATCCCAATTCAAGCATAGTAGAGGGACCAAAACCATAATTGGACCTGTATGCTTTTCGTCAAAGTTATCTCAGGTTACGAGTAAATTGGTTCTCAGGTGGTCTAAAATAGCATCGCATTTACCTGGAAGAACAGACAATGAGATAAAGAATGTGTGGAACACTCATCTGAAAAAGAGATTGGCTTCAAAGATTGGAAATACTCATCAAAAAGATAAACCCAAGGAATCTTCCATGGCCTCATCATTATCAAGTTCATGTATCTCATCAAATGGCAAAAACTCTGAAGAGAAACGTGCGATGGCAGTATCAGACAAAGCTCAAGACTTCAAAACTGATCAGCTATCAAACCATGGCAACAGCAGGCCATCCGAGGAGCTGGAAGGATTGTCGAGTTCTTCGATCACTTCCAACACCACGAATTCAGGTCAGGTAGGAGTTTCAAACCCAGAAGACCGAGCAGGGTCATTGTTCAACTTCATGGGAGGTTATTTTGATGCTAATAACAACACGTCGGAGGAGGTAAACAAGCCGGATATCCTCGACAACGCCCTTGACATCCCATTCGAGTCCGATTTGGAGTTTTGGAACATGTTAGATGGCTTAGGACCGTTCCAACCCGATGGGATCGAATCACATGACGGCACCCAGAGCTTGGATTATGGAGAATTTGAAAAGAACAAGTGGTTGGTTTACTTGGAACATGAACTAGGGTTACAGTCAAAGGATGGTGGTGAGGCTGAGCCACTGGTTCCTAAGATGAATGACATGGTGCTGAGGGCAGAAGGTGCAATGGGCATGGGTCATTATCACAACACGGTTCAGCCATATGAGCCAAATTCAACCAAGTAGCTCTTACAGGGCTTAACCAGTGGCTATACCATGTTATAAATATACTTTAGGGTTTACCTAACTTGTTCAAATAGGTCCTTTTAGATGCATGATGGATAAAATAAACAATTTATCTCATCTTTGGGTTTATGCAGTAGACATTGTAGATTGAACCAAACCTAAAATTGTCTCCATTTCAACCTTTTTAAGTGGGTAGCTCGTCTTTTTCTTATCAAAAGAAAATAGGATTTCACTAAAAGGGAGAAGCTACAATTGGGTTGGTGATGATATTCCTCCTTCTGCCTCTCTTTGTATATGACTTTGACCTAATTGAATTTTCAAACATTTTAATATTTTGATCTTCTTAATACTTTTAACATTTTAAACTGAATTTTATTTCAAAGTTTTAATATCATATTAATATCATTTTTCTAGTAATTTAATATTATTTTAGGCTTTAAACACCAACTTAAATCTAACACAAATCATATTTTAAAGTATACGGATATATATATATATATTAAATAAGCAATTTAAATTAAATATGTGATAAAAATAGACGTGTCAATTACTTGAATAATAAAAAGTCATCAACTAAAGCTGAGTATTGGGTCACAGTAGGCAACTTAGGAACGTACATGGATTAGGTTTAACTAATTCAGATTTACTTCAACTTTCTAAAAATTTAAAACACACAACAAATCACGAGCTACTCAAATTCAATTAGGTCGAAGTTCGGTCGACATTTGAATTAAATGAACTCGACTCGAATTTTTATCAAGCCGAAATAAAATACTTATACCAAACTTGAAAAGTTCACGATCAATTCAAAAAAAAAATATCATATTTTTTATTTTTAAATTAAATTATTAATAATATTAACAATTATATGTTACTATTTTTTTAACTGATATAATACTTTCATATACTTAAGGTTCAGATTCGAACGCAAGTTTGAGCTTCAATCTAGCTAAGTCTACAACTATTTCGAATTTCAGTTTTTTTTTCAAGTTCGAGTTGAGCTTCAATTTTTTATTTCGAGTCGTGTTTTAAAATTTTGAGCTCTAGAGCTTTCAAGTCTAATCGAGCCTCATTTTTTTATTTCGAGTCCGAACTTAATTTAAGTAATATGATAACATTAACATTCAGTAAAATTTAAGTAAACTTTTTTATCACTGAAAAAGTTACAAAATAGAAACTAACGCTATCGTGGTTTTTTTTTTTTAACAAAATGATTGCTCTAACCTTGACCCTCGTTGACTATGTGAAATTAAAAAGCTGATTTGGCATCCTATTAAAGAGAATGCTAGTTTGCTTTCAAGGTTTGTAGCAAGCAATATGATAATTTTCCTGCAAATTTTAGGGCATGGTTCAATTTGGTTGTTATTAGGGATGGCAAACGGGTACAGTTTCGTGGATTCCGCACCGCATCCGCTCTAATTGGAGCGGGGATGGGTATAATTTTAGCAGGTAGTGAGCGGGTGTGGATTTATAAAGTGGTACCCGCCGTGGGTGGTGGGCGGGTAATGGATTTGAGACATTACTCGCCCCGCATCCGACCGCCCCACATCCGTCCACCCAGCTAAATATCTATTAAATTTTGGAATATTATGAATTTAGATGTAATTTTAGAGACTAATTTATAAATTTTAATATTGTATAATATATAACATATAATTTATCCAAATATTAAGGATATTTAGTCTTTAATCTGGTCTTTAATTAGGGAAATATTCGGCTCTTTGATTAAACCCATAATCCCACTAACCACGTCACTTTCCATGTTCTTTAGCCCATGTTGCCTATCCAAACACAAATTAGTCGTACTATAAGCATTAACATCAAAAACAGCAGTTTCCATGTTCTTTAGCCCCTCAAAACCCATATTAGGCGCACTATGAGCATTAATATCGAAAGCAACACAACAATCCAGCTCTGCGACTACATGCTCCCTACAATCTGTCTCCATAACATTCGTAGAGCTACTCCTCTGACAAATTGAAGCATGCGCTGTTACCCCATCACGAACTGTCTGGGAACCAACTCCAACATCCCATTAGTTTGCTGTCAAGCGGGTCTAGATAGGTATGTCGCTAGTGGGTAGTGGGTGTGAGGATGGATTTGAAAATGTATCCGCGTGGGCGGGTGTGGATTTGAAAATTTGTACCCACCATGGGTGATAGCCGGGTAGTGGATTGAAAAATATTATGTGAGTATGGGGATGGGGGAGGGGGTATCCGCACCCGACCCGCCCGTTTGCCATCCCTAGTTGTTATCCAAATATTATCAAATGAAAACCCTTTATTGAGTGTGCTAATGCTCTAGGCACTTTGGCATGCATGGAACTATAGATTAATTCTGGAAAACGATTCACTCACCATCATCTCAAAATGTTAACCGAACCACACATGCAACGGCTAAGGTAGGATTGCTCGACTTAAGAGAAAGGCGCTGGTGTTGGGTAGAGGACGTGCCCTTTCGGTCTCCGTTACGTTGTTGAGGACCGCCAGCCACCGTGATAGATCGATAAGTTTTAAGACTTCGGGAAAAACTTGAGACCCCATCTGGAAAGCCCTCAGGAGTTAGTTTCATGATTAACAAAATCATCAACACATTCTTGTATAAAAAATATATTTTAAGAACCTTTTTTTTCTATTTTTTAAAAAAAAGTTGATAAAAATATTTAACATGATAAAATTCAAGGTTAACAAATCTGAAACAAACCAACCGTAACAATTTAGGCTACAGCACCTCACAACTCAAAAGCATCTAGTTTTATGCTATAAAACACCAGGGAAAAGTAATTAACCTAAAACAGTGATACTTGGAAAATAATTAAAATGCTAATTACCTAAATATCCATGATCAATGTGCCCTTGGGGTCATTGACTTGGCCCGTATGATGCTTCTGAGATATCAAGGCCGTGATAGAACCCCTTTTGACCTGCATAAGAACAAATGCTTCACAACTTTAGGATAGAATTACATACAATTAAAGAAGGGTAAACTACATGTTTAGTACCTAAACAATTACTTTTGTTTCATTTTGGTACCCCAAACTTTATTTTTCTTTTCAAAATAATACGTAACATTTAGTTTAGGTTTCAATTTGATATCCGCCATCAAAAAATTAACAGAACTGCTGACATGGCATTGCCTTATGGTGACACATCAACATCACCGTTAAGTTTTTAACGACGATGTACCAAAATGAAACCTGAACTAAATGTTAGGTATGACTTTGAAAAAAATAAAGTTTGGGTACCAAAACAGAACAAAAGTAATAGTTTAGGTGCTAAAAGTGTAGTTTATCCTATTAAATAAAAACAAAGTCTAAATATACTAACCCCTGAACTTTGTTACTCTACTTAACTAAGTCTTTATACTTCTATTTCACCCAAAATAAGCTTAAAGTTCAAATTGTACCCAACCAACTCATTAACCTTTAATTTACACCTAATTGAAAAAACTCTGAATATAAATCAAATTATAAGGACTAGTCCAAGGGCCTTTTTTAATATTTTAGCACAAATGTGATATAACTTCCCTTAACCATTGAAAGTCTCAGAAAAAAGACCGAATTGATATAAAGTCTTAATTCAACAGGACGATATCGAACCTAGGTACGGTCCCGAGGCGGCGCAGATCATATTCAGTTGCTTGTCTAAGGGCCCTAACAAAAGCCTTAAATGTTGCCTCAATAATATGATGTGAATTTTTCCCTGCAAGCTGTGAAAAGCCAATTTGAAATATTAAGTCAAAGGAACCCAAAAGTAGAAACGAAAAGCAAAGTCACAAGAAGCTTTATGACTGGTTTTGCTAAGCATGCATCTGAACTCAAGCTGAACTACTTAATCAAAATTTAGACAAAGTAAAATGAAAGGAAGCTAATGTGCAGAACAGAACTTGTATTAGCATAATATTTTATTAGTAATAAGAGTTTTTTGTATTTAAAAGAATGTTCGGATTGTTCAATATTAACGAATAAAATTTATGAACGTCTCAGTTTAACTACCTGTCGTATATGTAGTGTCATGCCAGAAGGATTGACCAAAGACTGGAAACAATGCTCCAACAACTATGATAATGAGGGTATAAAAATGCGCTGGTGAAATTCACCATAAACATATTTGAAAAGAAAGCAGAATGATGGCAGCAATAACTTAGGAAAGCATATAAAATGTTGAAATCTGGTTCACAAGTTTCCCCCATATTCGAACAGAACAAAAGCAAAGTGGTTTACCTGAATGTCATATGCCCAACTCTTTCAGTCGGAATGTTCAGATCATAATATAAATGTGGTCGGCCAGATAAATCCTAGGCCAAACAACATAAAATTTAGCACAGTAATGACTTTGAACATCACAAGGAAACAAGGTTTCTAAAGAATTACCTCCAAATAAAGTAAATTCAATGATACTTCATACAATCATCATCACCACACTATGTCTAGACTAGCGAGTTTGAGCATTAACTATTTGCCGAGCTTTCTTTGGGAAGATAGCAGTATCCAGAAATTTTCCTAGCATCGAATCCTATCAAGCTCTATGCATTTTCAGGAAATATCTTGGAATCAAATATACACTTTTGACACCTTAGAATTTCAAATAGAGCCATAAAATCATGCTTAAGAAACAACGCATGTCACTCATACCAGTGAAACATGTATCAATGCTTCATCAAGAGGAGCAGAAAAATTGCCAAACCGATTGATTCCCTTCCTGTGGCCTAGTGCCCGAAGCAATGCCTGATGAAGACAGATAACTGATTAGTTCACAAAAACTTGCACAGAGCAGGAAATGCAAATCAAAATGTTGGACCGCCGATACTAAATTAGTATAGCGATATCCCTTGGCCGATAAACTTTAAGCTATTTTGCCGACAACATTTGCAAACACAAAACTGCATACAATAGGAAAAGTTTGAATACTCTAGTTAACACGGAAAGAGTTAATCTCTTGCAGTAATTAATTAGGAGTAGGGAGCATTTGAAATCTAGACCTTCCATTCAGAGTTAAGCTTTTCAGTAATTAAACTCAACTAAATCTTAGAAATAGTAAGAGGCGAAAAGGAAGAAGCGAAAATCACCGTTCCAAGAGCAAGGGCAACATCTTCATTGGTGTGATGATCGTCAATATGAATGTCCCCAGTAGCCTTGACGTGCACATCGAACAATCCATGACACGCTAGTTGCTAAGAGGAAAAAGAAAGGACTTGAAATCAGTTAGCAGCTTAGAGAAATGCTAAATCAAGGCCAAAAAGGAAGGGGAAAATAAGAAGCATACATCCAACATATGATCTAGAAAGGGGATACTCGTACTACAATTAGCAAATCCATTGCCATCCAAATTGATCTTAACCCACACATTAGTCTCTTTCGTCACCCTCTCCACCACTCCAACCCGGCCTAAACCAAGAACCGAAAAAGATTAGATGAAGCAAAAAAGGGGTGATGATTTAGTTATTTTGGAATTGGGGTTCTTTTACCTGGGTGGGGTGAAGAGGAGCCATTGTTCTGGGGAAGAGAGGAACAAGAAAGAGGTGACCTGTGAATTAATATTCATCTGTTTCAGAATGAAAGGGAAAGAGAACGTTGGAAGGGAAACCTAAAAGGGACTCTGGGCTTGTTATTTAGAGTGGCGGTTCTGGCGGCAGTGGAGGAGGAAGAAAACCTGTTTAGGAAGCGACAAGGAAATGAATTCAGCTCCATTTGTGGATAGGATGAATGCTTCATCTAATCTTTTTCGATACGATGACGTATCGAATATTCCTTTCATTTGACAAAGGTTTAGGGAAATGTTTTAAATAGCGTTAATATTAATATTTCTGATAAAAAAATATTTAATTATTATTTTATTAAAAATATTTAAAAAATATTAATATTTTTTATCATATCTTTTTTTAGTTATATGTTAAGATTGTCGTACTTTAGATATCCTAAAACATTTTTTTTTTATAAAAGTGTTTTCAAGGGCTGGATATGTAAAATCATCAATGTATTTTGAAGGGTTAAACTACACTATTAATTATCCAATTATCTCCTCACTTATATTCTAGTCATTAAAATTTAATTACTTTTAATTTAATCATTCAATTTTAAATATTAAATTTTTTATCACTCTACCTTTTTTCCCTAACTCTGTGATGAAAGAATTTTTATTAATGTTTGAGATACATAGGCACTAATTAATACTATTTTTTATATTTTTCACTCTTTATCGTCTGTTGCTTTCATTTGTTAGAAAAAAATAATAGATTGGTTGAATGATATTGATATTTTTTATAGTTTCCTTATTGATTCGGACATCTACCGATTTTTATGCAGAGTTGAGGTCTTAGTGATATTTCAGGCAGTAAAAGACATTAAGCTATCAGTTCAGAGAAAATGTTTCGGATAACTGGGTTCAGGAGATCAGAATAGTGTGTCTAGTGTGTTCCCACAAAACCAATGAAAATATACATATCATTTTTAAAACAATAGCAGTTTAAAACGTATCTTTAAAAACCATAGTAAAACCCTCCAACCGAACGCCAATATGCAGTTCCCCAGAACTGCATCCATAAGGACTTACCCTAGGCCCAAAGGGCGTAAGTACCAACCTAGCGGAGCACCTTGGGTCCATAAGGCCTTACCCTAGTCGAAGTGTAGGTGCCTACCTGAGGCGAGTGCCCTCAGGCCCATAAGAACTTACCCAATGCACACAGCAAATGAGCCGCCCTAAGGGAGTGCCTTAGGGTCCATAAGGTCTTACTACTAGGCCCATTAGGTCCATAAGGAATTATCAGTCGGTGTTGAACCTATACAAGAAATTACCAGCAGCGACTGAACCTGCCAGAGATAGGAATTACCAGTCGGTGTTGAACCTATATAAGGAATTACCAGCATCGACTGAACCTGTAAGAGTCTTCATACCAGATCTCAGAGTACCCCAAATAAAACATTTTCAATCGGTAAGCAGAGATAGAGGAAATCATAGCAGAGATCGTAACAGAAATTAGAGAAAACGTCCATGTGATCAAAGAACACACTAGAGGTTCCAGATATTATTCAGAGGTACTAGATAATCTTATCGGGCAGGGAAACACGGATCTTCAGTATACCGATAGAATACCGTAAATTAGTGTCACTATCAAAATAGTTCAATAGATGATGGAATCATCAGTTATTCAGAATGTGATTTATCAGGATCATAAAGTATTCTGACATTTTCAGAGGCACTAAGTAATCAGAAAGGTATTCAGAATCCTTTGTATATGAGTTACTTATGTTTTCAAATATGACCGAAGTGATTCCATTATTCAGGAAAATCAAAGACATTTTGAGCATTAGGTTATTGGAGAATTCATAGTGAGTTGAACTAATAAGGGAGCAACGAAGATTCTTAACGAAATTTACGATTTGTGTCAATCTATCGGAATATCGAGTTAACTTGAGCTGAATAACTCCCAGAACTAATGCATGTCAACCAATCAATTCGTTGCCCTTCCAGGTTATTCACTTTTTAATACCAAAAATTATTGTCCATAATTCGTTTCCAGAATCATCGTTGAATAGATCTTAAAGAGACATACAAATATTCCAATGGTCTTTATTTCATTTCTACGTTGCAATAATATTATGAAATGTCGACGTACTTGATTCGTGATTTATAACCCATAGGGACAGTGCATCATGTAAGTTCATCGGCAATTCCAAACTTATCCAAATCACTTATTTAATCCTCAGTCATTGAGGTTACTTAGTTCATTTAGTAGTCAAGTCTATCTCGATTACTTAAGAGTTTTCAAGAGTAATTCAGACGTTTCTGGAATTCAGTTACATATGATACTTCTGTTCAATTCAATTTGGTCATACAATAGTCATTTTGGTATTCTATGTTGTTTTAATAATTTCAGAGCTTGAGGGTATTTAGTTATTCCATGACTTAGAGATACTTTAGATTATTTTACACTTTAGGGGTATTTTGGTCATTTTACACTGTGATTTCGGTATTAAATCTTTTAACAATATCAAATAGAATTTAGAGATTATGAGGTTATTTCATTTTTCCAGATAATCACTGAACTTGAAATCATTTCTTATCAGTCTTCTTGTGTCTAAACTTGTAGTTCGAGCCTTATTCGGTTTACTTTACTTTATTTCACATTCGGATCGAGTTTAGAAAGTGATCACTACATACATATGACCAATTATATCCATCCATGAAGAAATCAATGCCAACATGTTCCATAAAGCATGAAACAAGTATTATTATATTACCTCGGTTTTTGTGTCATATCAATCGACCATTTAAACTCCATTCGATCGCCCTTGAACTTGAATTCAACGTCCAATAATTCATTGGATACATAGCAACCAAATTTACGTCAGAAACTAAACTTAATTACTTCGGATTCAGAATCAGGGTGTCAAAAAACATAAAATAGGACTTTTAAAAAAATTTGACTTTTCGGTCAAAGTCAACAGTCATATAGGTCAACGGTTAACGGGTTAACTCGATCAAAGTAAACGAGTTGACTCTACCGAGTTGACTCTGCGACTGGGTCAGGCAGGCGGGTCGGGTCAACCGGGTCTGGTAGACCAGACCCGATTCTAGAAATTTCCTAGACCAAAACAAGTCTCACACGCACCATCGACGCGTGCGACGGCGACAGAGGCAATTTTCACCGGCCGATCACTCCAGCTGCTGCCAAACACCAAATTCAATCCATAACTACTCAAACTTCAGCCAAAACAACTTAAAAGTAAACAGAAAAATAGAATAAAAATAATTTCCATGGTGGTCGGAGAAAGAGCGATGATTAGGTGGCTATAATGATTGGGTTTTAATCGACATACCACAAGGATCTCAACGGAGTAAGAGGTGTGGCAAACTGATAACAGGATTGGTCAGAATCGTTAAAAAAAGTATGACGACGACGAGTTTTCGGTTGCAGCTTTCGATGAGCTTTCCACGTCGAACGGTAGTGGCTCACGGGGTGTGGCCAGTCAAGATTTGATCGGGTTGAGATGATGCCTTGGCTGGTTTTGGATGTGTCGGTCATAGGCGTTTGGAGGCGTACAATGGAGATAGAAAGTGAAGAATGTTTCTCTCAATCTTCCCGACGAATGGTGGCCTGAGCAAGCAAATATATATTCAGGGTTCGCTCGAAAGGTGATGACGAAGCCAATGGTGCTGGCGGTGACGATCACCGCCAGTCAGAAGAGG